CAGAGTGTTTGCATCAGGGCATGAGCAACGTAGCGTTGTCCGTGAGAGGGGAGAAAGGAAAGAAAAAAAAAACAGAACATATACGCCACACTAAAACCCGACGTTGAATAAATTGAAGGTAAAAGTCAAAATACAAAAACATACGAACGGAGAACTTGGCTGCCGTCACTACGTTCCTTGATAGGCGCCGCTCGCGTTTCACTCACGTGGAGCCCATTAAGTGTCGGGCCGGCGGCTACCGGAGATATTTGCGGGGCCTAGAATGGTAGACTCTTCCTTTTCAGGATAAGGTTTGACGCGAAATTACGGCAGGCTCTCGTGTTTTCTCAAATCCAGTACGCCTTGCCGACATATTTCCGGTTTCTCTTGTAAAGAGAAGGACGTGTTTCTTGGCAGTGACGGCCACAGAGGAGCCACCAATCCTCTTTCTGGGATCGATTTCATTTTTTTTTTCGCTCACTGGACTGCAACTCGAGGTATACAAAAGACTGGAAATCCGATATGTTCTTTTCTCTTTGGCAAGCCATCTAATGGCACAATCATATGTATTGATCTTCTGATCTTCCAGTGAGAAGTTCATTTTTTTTCGTTCCTTATCCACCGTGGGCACTGACGCTACCCTTGTGGTGTGTAATCGCGTGGCTTTGAGCCTCATTACAGGCTTTCACTTTCACCCTGTGCGTAATCCATTTCAGCCTTTCCAATCTCCATCCCATCGTCGATGGTCGCGAGCTCGACAGGCGACCTCTACTCTCCCTTTCAGCCAGGCATGGCCAACGAAGACGGTCCCCAGTCGAGCTCTGATGGGTCAGGCCTCCATTCTCCAGTTTTCGGAGCTCACTATCCCCCTGCGAACGGTGACAATTGTAAGTTGTTGCCATCGTACTCTTTCCTTCCCTCGTAAATCCTGTTCTCATCTGCTTCCGTAAATAAAGTCCGGTATCAGCAGGATCAACTTCATATTCAGCAAGGAGTTCACGCCGCCCAATTTGAATACTTGCCGACGCTAGTGCAACAACCTCCGTTAATTGACACTGCACTAGAAATGCCGAGCCCCACATCTGAAGACCTTGCATTTCATGGCGGGTTCTCCTCCTCACCGCGCACACACCTTCGAGGCGATTACCACGTTCCGCCTGCACGACTTCCGCCCCCCCTCAGTGGTTCTGTTGCCGACTACAGATATCAAGGCTCTTCTGAACGACGGTTGCCTAGTGGGACCCATGACTCCACGTATCATCGTGTTAGCGGAGGCATTCCATCCGTCTCCATCGATGACGATCACCGACGCCCTCCGATTTCGCCAACAGAACGTGTAGAAGTTTCTCCAACAACAAACCCTACTAATCCTGTCCGGGAGCCTCGGAGGGAGATCTCTACCGTTGTCATAGCTTGTCGCCAGTGGTAAGTGTTCGTCCTTCCCTTGCATCTCCCAACTTTCATTTAACCATTTTACGCAATGTTGACCCTCTGTATCTGCTTTTCCCTTTAGCCGGGGCCGCAAAATACGATGCGACTCTACAAGACCCGTTTGCAACAACTGCGTCCGGCGGTCAAATGTCTGCGAGTATGACGCAGTCCCGAAACGTAGAGGACCTGATAAGCGTCCAGGGACTCGTCAAAGATCTTGTAAAAAGAGACCAGCAGACGGCTCAGTTCCTCCACCTCCGAAACGAAAACGTACTACAGCCCCGAATCGACCAGACGTTATCTCTCCAATTGAAGAAGTTATGGGTGGTGGTCCTCTAAAACAATCACCGACAGTGAGGTCTGCTGAACGTCAGCAAGGCCAGCCACTGAGTATCTCGACGCAGACGCCTTCCCCGATAGACATCCGTGGCCCAGGAGATCAGTCAATTTTGACCAAGGTGGATTCCATTATTCTTATTTGCGCTTGATGGACGGCTGACTTGATATACTCAGCCCGAGCAATCGCCTAATTCTCGTCGATATTACCCGCATGATCCTGCCTCGTATTCCAAACCTTCGTTTCCAAGACCACTTGATTTGAACGTTCTGCATTCACCCCCTCGAGAGCACCAGAAATTTCCTTCCCCAGCTTCACCTGCAACTCAGTCGGACCAACGGATGTGGTGGGATAATTTTCTAAAGACTTACCCGTAAGCCTCGGCCCTCTGGCCTTTGCCGCCTTAGTCACAGCTTGCATTCCAGACTACCAGATGTCGCTGACGACCTGACATATCTGTAAGCACAGCCACGTTCCTGATGATTTCAGGCTTGACACGGAGTATAGGTTCACCGATGCGGGCTACTGGCTGTCCTTCCTCAACGTGAAGTTCTTCAGGGACACCTTACTCAATGCACAAGAACGTATACGGATTCAACCCGCCTTTGTCCTCGCTGCCCTAGCCATGTCTACTCTGATGAAATCCTCCGAGACGGAGTACGCAGTTCAAGGCCGAACTCGTGCCCTCTACCTCCGAAATCTGGCGCAGAGCGCTCTGGAGGCCGCATGGGAATCGGAATGGATTGATGCAGCCTTGGCTGAAGCTGCGCTTGTAGGTCTTTTTCATTACCCGTGTCCATTTGCCGCTCAAAATACTTTAAAAAAAGATTCTAGCACTCTTCGAAACCTCCGTTCATCCCGAATACAACCCGACGCGCGTCGAAAACGCACTTATCTTTTTGGATAACATCGTTCGCCGTCTTTCGCTGACATCCATCGATACCAATGACCCGGAAGTATCTTTTTTCCCACAGCGCGGCGTCCCTGTCGTCCTCGTACCCGGTCTCGATACCTTCTCACACTCTCCGCACGAGCGTAAGTGCTCATGTATACCTACCGATGCTTCCCATCCCCCAGATCCTTTCAACACCTGGTCATACCCCTTACCCTGGGACTCTTCTTGGTCAACTAACGAAATTCGTGACGAAGAATGCCGTAGGGTTTGCTGGAGTGCCCTCGGTCTCATCGCGAACTACACTCTGCAATGTGCTGCTTTTGATCGTGATCCCCCTAAACTTTTTTTGAGCAGCCCTTCCAACGTATGTGTTCTCCCGCGACCCTATAAGGAGACTTCCCTGATATTACTTCTCCATCCAGTATGCACTATTATTCCCGGGCGAAGCTGTCGATCGTACATCTCCCCCTTATCGATCAGCGGATTCGCAATCGCAGAAAGAGAGCGTTTGGGCGCTGTATTGCCGAAGTATGCTTCTGTGGTGCTTCTGTGATCAACTACGTCGTGAGCCATACGTGGAGGAAGACAAGGCTGAGTATGCGCACGAGGCTTGGAACGAGACTCAGTCTATCCAGGATTCGTTGGATTTGCATGTCTGCAATCTCGATACCGCTGTCATGTACATGTGTCGGGAGTATATCTACAAGTGGATACTATCCTTTTCTTTTCTAGAATATGATCACTGACGCATCTCTTTTAGTTCTCGCATGGCAATAACACAGGCGTTGCGTAGGTTGGTCCCTTCATCCTCGAATGTGTGCGTGCTCTATTCCTTTTATGAAACTCATGCTTCTTCTGCTTTAGCTTACACGGGTTAAGTAGTGGAGGCCCCGTTTTCACTCGAAAGCAAGCCGATGAGTGGAGTAAGCTTCTTCCCAGTTCTTTGGGTCTGCCTTGCTTATCCTTATTAGTTTATTATCAAGAGCAGATTGTCAAGCGCGTGACGATGTCTATCCAACGTATGGCTGGTACTCCAGGACATCAGCTGACCCGTCGCCCGTTTCAAGTAACCTGGTTTTCAAATCAACTTGCCCTGTAAATCTTTCGTTCAATGAATAACATCGCTCTAATTCAAATAATTCTATAGGTGCCTTCGCCTTTGGAATAACGATAGGTCCCTATATGGTGCTCTTGAATTAGCCAAAGCTATTATGATTCCTCTCGACATGGTCAATTCCATATGGCCTTGCCCACGTAGGTGGCGTAACCCTGTTACCACTAGGCACCAGATTTACCCTTCCTCCGATCTCTAGAACATCAACACCAGTGCGATGACCTGAGGAAGCACCTGATTGAAGCCTGCACGTCTGTGGGCATGGGTCTTCCTTCTCTTACAAACCGGTCTCTTCCGCCTCTAATGAAGACTCATTAATAGATTTCTCCGATAACATCCTCTCTGTTATTCCTGGTTGTGCGATCTTTGCTATCAGTCATGCATTTCTTTACTCTGTTCTACTACGTACATGTATTGTCTTCGTTGCTTATCAGACTGTAGTTTCTAGTTTATATTAGTTTTCCCTTCGAGTCCAGAGTATCTCCATGTAGCATCTCACGTTGAATATGCCGGTTCCTTATAATTCGCCCATGTTTCTTTTAATTACCAGAACGACTGAGCCGTCCTTTTGGTACTTAACAGAGTGCTGACGTTTAAATCGTACATATTCATTGATCGTTGCGTGTTAGGATCCTTAAAAATCGGCCTTTGTAAGACTCACAGGCACCGATACAGTTGTCGACGGACCCTTTCTCCTTGTAGTCAAGAACGCAAGCAATAACGGTTGAAATAGAAGCCGCTGTCAGATCAGGGTCCCAAGGAGCGGACCCGGTCTTGCCTACCGGACAAGAATACTCTGTAGCGTTAAGCATTATAAGTAACCGCCCGAACAGTATATATCGCTCGGCTATGATATCACCGATCCTCAGATTCTTTGGCACTTACTTTGGGCGTGAGGTTCTATAAGTTGTCATATGCTGATACAGTTAGAGAGGGATTTCAAAGTTCGAATCATGTCAACACGGTCCTGAAAGTAGTCCAACTGACACTAGATAATCGTTCTTCATATCTCTGAGAAGACTCGGCTAGACACAGGATCATAAAATAGATATTGCCTACAAAGTTGGAATACAACTAGAATGCATTCATGGCTACAGTACCAACCTCAGGGAAATCGTACGGTGGATCTAAAGAGCCCAATACCGATAAGATAAAGATAGAAGAAGTGTCCTCCAGGTATAAATTATAAATTATTTACTGTAATCGACGTACATATAAAAAATACATGGGAACCAAGAGTATCTGGCCGTGTGGCGTAATGGCAACGCGTCTGACTACGAGGAGTGAATCAGGAGATTGCAGGTTCGACCCCTGTCTCGGTCAATGTCTTTCTCTTTCTTATTTCTTTTCTGAGATATTCAGACCCTGGTCTGCTGGAGCCTAGTCCCTAGGGGGATGTTCGTCGTTCGAACTTCTGTTTTAACGGACTCCTGCGTGTCATTTGTGGTCGAGGTATCAGTATAATCACAAGGTGTTGGGCAACTTGATGGTAGCGATCATCAATTCCAAGTTCCTAAATCCTCGCCGGGCGGCTTCTAGCTACGAGTGGTGTTCTTCATCATTTGCCAGTCAACAGGAGTTGGCAGTCCCTCTATTATCTCGTAGCATTGACAACCTCTCCAATATATCCATAGTACGATATCACGGCAGAGGTAGCGGTGGGTACTTACTACTTGGCTCTTGAAGGAAGGCTCTGCTCTCATTTTCGACTGCCGTTCCGTATCCTGGGCCACTGCCTGAGTAAAATCTGTGCAAATTGTTTATCTATTTCCGACCATACTGTTACCGATAGCTGCTTCTTTTTTTGATCGTCTGTGATACCTACATGCTGCGATAACCGATCCCCCTTCGTTTCAACCTTCAAATCGCAACGCCCGATGATGTCTTCTGTTCACGAAGAATTTCAGAATTCGGCAATGTTGACAGAAAAGCGGTTCTCTTCGGTCGTAGTCTCCTCGGAAGGAGACCGAGTCGACAGAGCTATTATCGAGCGCTCGGGAGTCTTCGGCCCGTTGTTATCAAAACTGTTTGAGAGTGGTGTTGAGGGGAGGGGAGTGGAGCGAGTCCTTGAAGACGAACGCGATGGAACACATACCTGGAACATGTAAGCCGTCACTCTACTAGCATACTGGCTTATACTGATCTATGGGATTATAGCTTTTTCTTTTGGACGTAAGCCTAATCTTTCACCGACTGCACTGAGAGATCTTGACGGTTGATGCATCGTGCCTTCAGTTCTGTGAACCTTGTCCCCTCAAGCCTCTCCATAGGGATTCTTGCGCAAGATGTATTTTCCCTGACATTTCCGTGAGTCTTTCCATGGATCAGAGATTCCTGATGTAATTGCTCACTCTATGGCAGACATGCGGTCGCGGCGATTGTTGTTTTTGGCCTTGTGTCAGCGGTCCTGACCTCTCTTGTCGCAACTCTGGGGCCAAAAACTGGGCTTCGCACGATGATAATTGTGCGCTTCAGTTCCGGATACCTCGGCGGAATCATATATTCCATATTCAACGTTCTATCCCAGTGAGAATCCATTCATCATTCCATCGTGCTCTTCGCACTCATGTCCTCCGCGCTTAGACTCGGATACGCGGTTACGTGTATCATTCTTGGGGGCCAAACTCTCGCGTCCGTCAATACGGGCTCTCTTCCTCTTATCGTCGGCGTTATCATCGTTTCTATTTGTAGTCTTATCCCGTGTTTCATTGGATATGATGTGGTTCACACTTACGAAAGATATGCATGGGTGCCCCTCCTCGTGATAATGTTTTTTCTCTGGGGTTTGGGCGGCCATGCAGGTTTAGATATTCAAGCACAGAAATCCGCCGAGGAGTCTGGACGGACTCTGACCGCAAATGTAATAAGCTTTGGTGCAATTGTTTTCGGCAATACTGCAGGTGTCAGTGTTGTCTTCGAAAAAAGATACTTCTTTGGCTCAACTGCTTCTAGTGGGCGACCCTTTCGGCTGATTATAATTGCCGACTTCCAGTGAACACATCTGCGACTAAAGTTTTTCTCCTCACCTTTTTCGGGATTTACGTTCCGACTTCTTTCGCGGAGATTCTTGGTGCGGCATTAATGACCATCACAAAGCCCGGGTATCCCGAATCGTTTGAAAGCGGAAGCCTGGGTGGTCTCCTCGGCCAGGTCCTGATGCCTTGGAGAGGCTTCGGAAAGTTTTTGCTTGTGGTTCTGGCCTTGTCTGTCATGTAAGTCATCGGTCTTCTCGCGCTGAATCTCGTCACTCAGTTTTTATTAGCACTAATAACATACTGAACACTTACTCCGTTGGATTGTCTATCCAAGCACTTGGCCGTCCATTTGCGAAAATACCCCGCATATGTTGGACTGTCGTTGGGTGGATTATATATACGGCGGCGGGCGCTGCAGGCCGAGAGCATTTCGCTGAAATACTATCCAATTTTCTAGCCATCCTCGGATACTGGTCGTCATTCTTTATTGTCGGCGTCCTTGAAGAGCACTATATTTTTAGGAGGAGAACTGGAGCACTCGGTGGGTATAATCTAGACGACTGGGACACTCCCGGAAGGTCAGTTAAATGTTGCTTATGCCTCGAGACCTCACCGCAACTGCCTTAACAGATTGCCGGTTGGAATTGCTGGTATACTCGCAGGATGTTTTGGCGCTTTGGGGGCGATCATCGGGATGTCTGAAGTAAGTCGCGTATAATATCACCTCTCTCCAGGAAATGAATCCATCTTTAGGTTTGGTATACCGGTCCGATAGGGCGAATGGCTGGCAACGCGGACGTGGGATGCGAGGTAATTTCCATGCCTACTGTTTGTGTAGAATATCACTTCTTAACAATGTTCGTCTATAGCTCGCGATCGCGTTCTCCGCTATAACGTATCCGCCGTTAAGATGGCTCGAAATCCAGGTGCTGGGAAGATGATTGTATGAGGATGATTTATGACGAAAATACCTTATCTACGTTATCCACGTTCATTATCCTATTTATGATTAGTGTCTGACTACTGATGGCAGATTACACAAGACCCATCTGTCCATACGAACGACAGTGAGAGCAGAGGATACTTACTCCCGATAAGTAAGGCTTTCATACCGATCTTGTAACCATACTACTTGGCCTCAGTGTCGAAGAAACTGGAATTTATTTGGCTCATAGGTATCAGATGCGAACTACCATAGTAAACGAAAGTAGGTGATCAACATAAAGGAGCCAATACACGAGGCGAGGAAACAAGCAATGAACACTGACGCTCTGAAATCCTTCGGACTCCATTTCTAGCTCCCATATTTTTCTCCAATCCTTCTTCGCATAAATTCTTCCATTCTGTGGCTACTTGAGGGTCGTCTAGGACGAGCGGAGAGTCAAGCTGCACTTCCTCCAGCAACGACTCGTCGTCCTTTTGCCGCTTCCTGCGGGACGCAATCATTTTAACGATCAATGAATGAGCGACTCCGTCATAAGTAGATTGACGTAAGTCGAGCCCTGTCAAGCAAGGAAGAATATTCTGGCGATCACTTTCCCGAGCGAGTTTCGAAATTAACGCCTTCCCTATGTACTTCGTGTGTAGGTCCAAAGTACGGAGACTTTGAGCAGCAGATAGAAAGTCGATGAGGCGTTTGGTGGTTCTCGCCTGCGCAGCGAGATTACAGTATATCGTTAAATACATGATCCGGATACCAGGTGGTATGGCTGGGAATTCGACTGATCCATCGGGGTCGTAGTCCAGAAAGACCTGATGAAGGCTTGGCGTTTTTATGTGCTTGAAAAATCGCGCAACGGATGAAGATGCGGAAGCCTTTTCTCCTGCTGATATAAAATAAACATTGGGCAGGAGGACGCGCGCGTCAGATTCGCCAAGTGGAAATGGAGGTATCTTGGCTTTGTGGAACATAAATGAAAGGCTCTTGATGGACGCGTCGACGCCTTGAACCTTTTCCAAGATTTCTAGGCTCCGCCGACTGTGAGCCCCCCAGCCCGATAGGTGGGTCAACTGCTTCCAAGGCAATTGAAGATGAACTGCGACCTGAGGATCTACGTCCAGAATTTTGAGAGAAGAAGCTAAACGGAAAGCGTTGATGGGAGAGAGATGTTCGGTGCCACCTGGAGTATCTTTGATAATCAAGGTGGAGAGAGAGACCAGAAACTCAGTGTACGCGGAAAGAGAGTGCTATGTCTCACGAGGTACATTGATACGCAGTCATTTCCATAGAGACATGCTCATGAGCAGCATCGGAAAGATCGGATGGCCGGATAAGTCGGTTTTACTGTCGATCCTAAGAGCAAGGTTGCATTTTGGCGCTCTTTGAAGACACAGGCCGAGTTTGAAGGACAGAGATACCGTATGATTCGCTGGATAGGAAGGGATATCAAGGGATATTGAAGACCATAGGCACGAAGTGGAGACAGCCACGCATCTCCATCGGCGGGACACCTGCGATATCGTCCACGGTGGCAATGTTGTCTTGAAGTCGTCCCACTCTTTGCCACAATGAACGAAGATTTCCTGTAGGATATCATCGGATAAAGTACGAATAAGGTGTAACAGCATGGCGTTCTTTAAACTCGTCATAAAAACTCTAGACGCACCCAGGCGATGGTCGTCCTAGTTTTGAGGGGCTTTTCAAGGTGCAAGTGTGAAGGCCACACTACTTCGTTGAACAGTCAGTTGTTGACATTGGCTCTCAACGTTTTCCTTACTTACAGGGAGAGTTTATATCGAATCCTGCCACGGAGCAGCCACGGAGGCACTTGAGAGAATGATGACTGATAGTCTCAGAAACTTGACTCGACGATCCGTATGAAGATGAGTCGTTTAACGGATGTAGAATAACCCTGACAGTTGAGTCGGAGGAAAGAATCGTGACTTCGTCGCGACGCGCATATGAAGTTGATAACAAACAACGACAAGCAAGCAAGTCCAGGCTCCCGCTTCTTTCCATACTTCCATCATGTCCGCTGAGCACTTCTCGCGCGTAGCCCAAGCTTGGGCGCGCTCAGTAACGTGAGGGTATTTTGAGCCCGTATCTGAATGCTGCTCATTCCAGTCGATTTCCAGGGCTAGATGGACTACTCGCGTTGTCGGGCGTAGAAGAAACAGTTCTATCATCGAGAGTCTCAACAGCAGCAATCCAACGGAGACGATGCTGGAACAATGTCTGTAGTGAATGAATTTTCAAAGTCTCTCTTCGCACCTTTTTCATGAATTACTCGACAACAACGATAGGTCATTCGCCGACGAGGGCTTCTTGAACCTTTGATTTGAGCAGAGATTTTCCGATGCTTACCTTTGGAAACGGCGTTACATGACTCTGGTGACCGCAGTCTGAATCAGTGAGGAAGGAAAGCCATGGTGTGTTGACGTCTGTCATAGCGCTTGGAGGTCGTCGTTAACATCTTCTGGCAGGCACAGCCTTCGCCAATCGCCTCAAAATTTGAACATGATCAGTAGCCGAGTCAGCCAGTCGTAGAGCTCGGCCTATTTCTCCTCCGGGATCTCGTTTTGTCAAGTTGGAAGACGAGCATCCGTCATATCGGGGACTTCAGGCGCATATACAGCGCATACATCAACAGCTTCCATCAGCTGGAAGGATGACGTCCACTTTCTGGTTCGGGTGTAACGACTATGGGACGGATCCATGTTCTATATGGTCGAAATCAAAAGAAGCAAACTTTATCCAGTTTTCCTGACAGATAATACTACGTATGTTTTGTCTTGGATGGAAGACACGATCATGTGCTTACTCCCTGCTATAAGTTCTTTTGCTCCGGGTTTGCGGGCGTTATCTCGATTTGCATTGTTCGCTTGATTGTTATCGTCAAAGGTACGGCATATTTTACGCACGTACCTTTCTTTTCTTAACCGATGTATCCATCCAGCTCATCATCCGCGGAGTATATAGGACATGTTCTGTGGGGCTTATCCACCTGGTTCGCGTGATGATTTCATCAGGAGCACGGCGAATTCTCTAGCCAAGGGAGATTGGTAGGTATACTCTCTTGGTCTCTATTTATGTTCGATCATCAGCATGCTGATTGTGCCACCGGAAATTCGACCTCCGGACTCTAGACTCTTTAATTCCGTTCCTGAACAAAAGCGTAGTTGGCTCCGTACAGTACTCTGTATGTGTAGAATTTTTACAATGAGACGTCGTGTATAAGTGATACTGATATGGGTCTGTGTAAGGCTGCAGGTGCCAACATGCGCGTGTACAACATATGCAACTAGGCAACCGTGGATTGGAGAGTTTCTGTCGTCTGTACGTAGCTTTCTGCTTTTGTAAGGTTTTTGGCTTAGGCTATTCCTAAATTTAGTGGTAGAAGAGCATCATACGCCCGTAGGCCGCCCGATCCCGCCTCCCAGCCTTTTAGTATCGAAATTGATTTGAGAAAAGGCTGGATGTAACTGAACTTGCCAGGCAGTATTGCAGATTGCTCACACGCCAATCGCAGGCCCAGTGCTTTCTAAGCAACATTTATGGAACGCCCATCCTTCCGCAGCTCCTCCTTGGTTCTCTTCCCAAACTGGGGTCTTGATCAAGACGACAGGAGAATGACACAGTATCCTCCTAATTCTCAAAACAACCCGCCGATTAGATAGGCTCGTCCCCTTCATGGTGTGCCTTCATTAAGGATAGTACCAGTCTAGCTTGAACGGTTATGCTTGCATGAATGACCGTAAATTGCGTCTTGTACGTGTTTGCCTCTGGCTATATTTTCCTCTTCAGATGTGCGTTCATGCCCGCTTATATTCGTCTCTCAGAGTCTCAATGGAGCGCCGTCAAGTAACTTATCCAAATGAGAGGTGCAAACATCGTGTTTCACAATGATTGACGGCTAATCTCGAATTTTTTCAGTCATAAACTGTTTTCCGCTTGTCAAAGAATCACGATCATCTAAGCCGAAGACGGCGAGCCTCACATACTCGTTCGACGAAGCTACGAGGTTAGCTGTTGGTTCTCTTATGTTGTTGTTTTGCTTGAGCTATCCTCCTAGTTCGCAAACGGCCCTTGTCTGCGTCACCCAAGCGAGACTAATATCCTCGACGTGCATGGTTTGTGCCTGGCAGCCGGATATTGAAATCGGGCGCTCCTCCTTTACGCCATGACCCTCCCCTATCATGTCGATCGTCTTTAAATATTCCCTGTCCACGCTCTGACCCACCAGTGAATATGCGTTTCTCCCTCTCTCTCCTAGTGTTGCCCACCCTCGTCGCCTTTGCTTTCGCTGAGCCGGCCCCTGCCCCCGCCCCGGCTCCAATTCCAGCGCCTTACCACCAAGTCAATGCTCGCGACCTGCGCATCCGCGCCAAATACCCAGAGTACTTCGGCAAACGCACGGTCCCTTCGGGCGGGCCACTCTGTCCAAGGTCTATGAAGCGTTCGCTTCCCGATGATGCGTCCGATGTCCCACCAGAGCAAGTCCTCCATGCCGCGGAGATGGCTGCCTTCTTGATTGGTGGAGGAAAATTTGTGTCGTACGTACCACATTTCTAGGGTCCACCCAGTTTGCTCATCAACGTTCAGGGCCAACGGAACCCACTATTTCGACGAGCACTTCATGCGTAAGCACGAGAAGGACGCTGCCAAGTTCAAGGCAGGTGCACCCAAGAGTTGGCACGACTCCCTTCGGGACAAGGTTACAGCTGCGATGCTGGATATCTCGCTCCCGGTGTACAAAGTATGGAGGAACCAGTGGAATGACCCCGAGGCTATTCTCTATCTCGCTCCCAGGTAAGCTACGCGTGATTTAATGACAGCTAGGGTGAAGCTGACGTTGAGCGCTACAGCACGGCACTTCGCGCCAAGGACCTACAAGCCTTGGAGCTGGCGTTGTTGGAGGATCCCACTTTCGAGGAGATTTACATCGAGGGCTACAGGGTTACGAGGCGATGGATGGAGGCGGCGGTGGAATATGCCTCCTAAGATGGGTCCTAGCGCGGGAGAGTTCTAGATCGTTCAAGTCACTTCACTCGTACCTATGCCGCTGATACACTTTAGATCGTCAGTGTTCTGGGCTATCGTCCCGTTTTACTTTATATTTCAATCGTGATATCCCTTATACCCTTTCTTATGTCTTTGAGTTTCGTTTGATGTTTATTCGTTGCGAATTTTGTTAATGTTAGTCATTATTTGTGCTTCTGGCTCAAGACACTCCTTACTGCCCAAGCCTCGGGCTGTGGATGCGTATTTCTGTTCGCTTGACGCTGAACAGGATAGGGGAATCGCCAGTCTCCTAATCCAGGCGTCGTAGTCCCCTTTCCGCATGATCAATTGAGGGACACAATTATGAGGGCGCCTATTTGTCATCATTCACGCCAGTGTCACAAATCACATGTCCGATAACAAGCGTGGATTGTGACAACTGTGGCCTGGTTTCACACACGATGCCGGATACCTCATCATCCATCATCGACTAGCCCGACAGAATACTCCAGGTCGGGCTTGATTTTATTTCACGTTGCCAGACTAATGCCCGGCTGCAACAAGCTCACTGCTTCTACTATTCCACCTGTAAATTCGATTCTTCCCAAAGCAGTGTGTTTCCTTGAGAAAGTGCAGGAGTCGATCTCCGGAAAGTACTACGAGAGCATGTTCGTTCCAGAGAAGAACGTGCATTGCTGAAAGCTGATGACGACCAGAATGATGCTGAACACTTTGAGAACGGCGCTCTTCATAGCCAGCCTCATGACCACGGTCTCGATTCTTCCCAGCTCCGTTGGGGCTGTTAGCCGAGGTGCGATACCCTTGACTTGGAGAACATTCCGCCCTCGCAAGCTCAAATTCAGCTCTGAAAAGAGCAGGATCTTTGTTTGATGATAAATGCACGTACTATTACTTCTGAGATATGGAGAGCTAGCTATTTTGTGCCGGGATATCTCTGTTGGTATCTCGCTCCTGTGTTCGCAATGGTACGCATTTAATCTATACGTCTGATTATATGTGCATCTAGGTCTTCATTCATCGCTCTCGGTCCACTTCCTTGTTCGTGCGATACCTCAGGGTAGGCTACACTTTTTTCTCGGAGAGCTGAGCTCATTATATATATGTATGTATGTTATCGTGCTTGGCAGCTCTATCCCTCGAGACACCGTCGTCCATGAAAGTGAAGGCTCGCATTTTCTAGATATTTGGGACCAAAACCGATAGTCTATGTTCTTAGTGGTCCTGTTCTTTCTCGTACACACATTAGTGGAGTAATCTCCGTTTTTGTATCTGGTTTCAATCGTTCTCATCCCTTTTCTTCTATGCGACGACATCCGATAATGGTATGTATATGCGTCCTTGTGCGGCAATCCCTACTGATGTTCAGGCTTCCAGAACATCCTCCTACTAGGCACCATCGAACTCGTGAAACTTTTATCTAGTCTCTCCTAGTCGACGTTCCGTTTCTTGCTCTTTTCTTTACTTTCGACTTCCTTTCGTTCTTCTTTCATTATGGCTATCGTTCGCATAAAAGTGTCAACATTTCTTCCTAATTTGCAAAATATGCCTTAGCGTTGCATTACATTGGCTATCAGTCGGTGCTCAATCTATCAAGAATGAAAGGTTTTATGTACTTACCGTAGCAAAAATACCGTCCCTCCTGGGGCAGGGTCAGACAAACGGTTACTTACCTGCTTGGAGGTTGGTCCTGGCTTCGTCCGCTACCCTACACCGATGGCTGGCGCAGGCCCCAGGCTGGGTCTGACCGGTGACGATATTAGGGTTGCGCGCGAAACCCTAGGTTTTGATACACTAGGGTTTCGGACTGGTAAGTTACCGATTAGTTACTGGTAATTTACCTCCCCCTGCTGGAGGGGTTTTCATCGAGGTAACTTACCTGTCATGTGATGACATATGAGCAGCAATATCACCACTATATTCAACCTATTGTATATATATCGTATTGATGGCCTAAAACATATCTCTGTACCAATTATCAATGAATCACATGTCAGGAGAAAGAAAAATGTGTAGAAGAATACGAAGATGAAGATGCTGGGAAATTTTTGCAAATGCCGCGCGTCAGGCATGTGATTATGCACGTGATAAGGTAAGTAACGGTAAATTACCGTATCAAAACACCCCCCTCGCGGAGGGGTCAGTATAAAACAGTATCTTACACCCCCGGAGGTTTCGTGCGCAACCCTAGACGATATACAAATGGACTGATAAAAATGTCAACTTCGGATTCGGCGAATCGAACCCCGAGCTGCCGCGTTCACTCTAAAGTTCCCCGAAATAGATGAGAGGCGGCAATGTTAGCCGTTACACCATATCCGAAATACGCTTCGTCATTATAATGCTCTATGTATGTGCGCACCTTTTAAAGTACACCTTTGATGACCATGGGGAACTCGTGTCAATTTTTTGATATCAAACAGCTGTTGCACCATGTCATACAAAGCATCCCGTGGCCTCGCTTATCTTCATCTTCTCGATAGCCTTGTCTCAGAATCATACTCCTAGCGGCAAGCCTCCTTGCAGCTTTCTGCGATCTTTCGCTCAACCTTGGCTCAAAGTCTTAAAGATCCCGAAGCATTAGTAGACTGAAAACTTGCCCCGTATTTTCGCTGTGTTTTTCTTTCATACGGAGTCGGGACGCCGATTTTCCAGCTAGAGCGCACCAAGGCGTTTCGGCTAGTTTTGTGCCAAAATGCGCTGGTGTTTGCAGCGTTCTCTTTGCTCAATTTTGGATCAATTCTAGGAAATTGAAACCAGGATTGACAAAAAGCAGGAATTTCCCTCCGTTACCAGTAACTACCACGATCCGTGCCGACCACATATCGCATGCGAGAGGGCTGTATCATCACCAAAACCTGAGCCATATGTTCTGGTCCAGGTCGGCCTTATCTGGACGGCAATGCCAGCCTATGAAGATCTGTACTGAACTGTCAGATGTCTTCCGTTCTGGCATGGTCTGGTTAGATAAGTACAGACCTGAATAGGATCTGTATCATCTACTCAAGTGGAAGTAGAGCTATGTAGAAGGTGCAGGAACGAGTATAGATCCTGCCAGTAGAAGTCGGCTCAGCTGATGAGTCGAACACCCTCGTGAAAATCTTCAAATTACGTCTAGTACATTGGTTACAGTAATACAGAATCAAAGAGCGGAATACCCAAAGAGCCCGTCTTTGTCATTATACCAAGACTGAATCCGAACCTGATTTTGTCGTGGGCATCTTCGCTCATGATTTTTGCAAGCGAGGGTATTGTGAAACACAGCACTACAGAAAGAGCACTTTCCCATGGTGGCCTGGAAAGTAAAATTGAGTCAAATTTCACCTCAGAAAGACAGGCAGAAATACCAGAGAAGACTTGGCAATGCTGGGTCACGTTCAAGACGCGCAATGTGACAGACGCGACAGACGTGAAGGTCTGTCACGTCACACAAAATCCTTCTTTCCGTCTACCACCATCTCTTTGCCTATGAAGCCTGCTCCTCTCCCTACTCCCGCTGCCCGAAATCCAAAAAAGACAAAGGTGATATCTAAGGCACCTCCTGCAGGATCTTCAAAAAAGAAATCACCGAAAATGGCGCCCAAGAAGCCTACAAAACGAGCAAGAGCAATAACGCCGCCTCCACAGAAAGTGTTGCTCAAGACCGACCATTCTCGCCAGATCGTGTCCTCCGATGACGAGAACCCTGCCAGTATCGACCACCAACAGCAAATCTCCGAGGACGAGGAAGAGAGTGAGGATGAACAGGATGCAGATTCGCTGAGGCTAGGGAAGAGGAAGAGGTCACCGACAGCTCGTGGTCTGTCTCCTCCTAAATCAGTGAAGTACTCATTCTTCCTCTCAATGTCGTTTTGGCTTTGACAAAAATACAGAGATTTCTCTGCCCTTAAGAAGTACTACCGGCTCGCGTCAAGAAACATTCCTTGATTTATTCATCCCTGGGTCAATGTACAGGGAATCGTACTCCATGGACCTTTGGTCAAGGGAATTCTCGATTCGCTAGCTGAAGATGAGGAGGAGGATGCTGAGGACGACAACGACAGTGAGACGAAGGAATCTGAGACGCCAGAGTGAGTACCAAGCGCATATATTGATCTAAATTACTGACAACCACGTAGAAATTTCTGATTTATGCACTCATATATACACATCACGACGTTCCTCTTCCCATGTCTTGAGACGCACGTTAGTCAACTGGAGGACCTGGATTCAAGCGATCCATTGAGGACAGTCTTTGAGATTTTCGCAGCGGTAATTCCCTTTTCCTCTAGAATACACTAGCTAACTGTTGATAGTGGACGAAGGATGTTATTGAATTTTACACTACGTATGTCTCTACTCATTTTATTGATCCTGCTTTACAAGGTTGTCTCTATAGGGAGATCTTGAAGCCAAAGACCGATGAGGGCCAGGAACAAGTTGACGATGACGACGACGAATCGATAATGAATCGAAACCGCGAAGCACGGATCAAAGAACGAGCTGCTACTGCTACTGCTGTCGATGGTCAACAACTTGATGAAAACGAGGACGATGCCGCAATTGTTCCGGGGTAAGTTTTCGTTGAAGTCTAACATAATTTCTTGGTTAACAAATGGTGCTGCTTAGCTTCGACTAGGTTACTTTGGCCAGCTTCCGTTTGACTTTGCTTCTTTTACACGACTGGTGATGGACTGCTGTATAACTTGTTTGCTTCTTTGGACATGCTCTTGCTCTTGCTCGCTGCTTATCTGATGTTCTCACTCCATTCTTCTTGTAGTACTGTGTAATGGTTTTGCTGCAATGAATTATTATATGTTGTGTCAAATACATGGGCAATGAAAACGGCAAGTGAACAGGATCATAATGTATTGTCTAGGTGAGCTGCCAGTTCCTGTCAGATCAAGTCTACCTTGCTTGACCTAGGACACCTTGCAATACCGAAGGAGACCACAAGAGAACACCTGGAACACCACAGATGTTCTCTGATCTCTTCCTGATCGCGCTCAGAACGAGGGTCATGGGGGTCAAATGTCTGCGTCACCTGTTGTTGATCGCCAAGATCTGCATAGATTGCCCAGATCGTGTTAGGGTAACTTGATCGCATGCGATGGCAGTGGTCTGGCTAGGATCACATGGCCAAGGTTTTGGCGATGATACAGAGTTGAATTGGGACCCGCGACGGGTTAGGTGTGGACTTTACCATTCATGGTAAATTGTTTTTCCCGGCATAGCTGCGCATAGCTTGCCACTCTGACTGTGCCGCTCAGCCCCAATGGCCCAACTTTGGGTCATTGTTCTCTTCAATCAGACTGCTTCCTGCCGCTTCAAAAAGTGATTATTGTGTAAAGTAAAAACGTGCGGCCATTAATTTCAAGTTATGAAACAAGGTGAAGTGCCACTGCGCCATGTTACTTTGTTCTTTCTCACGCATTTATGAACCTCTCTTCTATATTCTTGTTCAAAACCATCAATCGCTAGTGGGACCCACCAAAGTTTCTTCATACTTTCATCGATCCTCTCGTTCAGCTGGGATCCAAAAGGTAAGGGCGATATGTTGACGCCTTTTTGTCATCGATTGAAGTTCTAATGGCTTCGTCTGCTAGGCGTCCAACATCAACCGTCTATTCTTGAAATATAGTCACCCTTCTCAATGTCTACCCCCGCTGATCCTCTGGACGAGCTTGTTCAGAAGCAACATTCCGATAAAAATTTCGATCTCCTCGCCTCCTTTGATAATACCATGAACTCTACCGGCAGAGTGCCCACCATGGCCGACGTTTTGGCCGCCCAATCCACAAGTGTGTCTGGGGCTCTTCAATTGACTGACATGCGGCAAAGGAATCCGCACATCCTCTCAGTCAACTTTACAAAATACACTCCGGGTCCTATCACCCACCTTCCGGTGGAGATGTTGATGGAGATTTTCAACCACGCCACTTGGCGTGGTAACGTGAATACCTTCGAATCGAGTTGGGACGTCTTCGATCCGAGTTGGAGACCATGTATTATCAGCCGGGTATGTCACCAATGGAGGGCCGTCGCAATAGGCAATTGCCCGAAGATTTGGACGAATTTCGCGCTTGACTGGGATTGGAGTCGTTGGGATTACATGAATGATTCCGCAGCCCTGCTGTCCTTGGCGCTTTCTCGCTCTGTAAATGAGCCACTGTTCTTCCGACTTGACGAGGCCGACGGAAAGGATATCCCAGAGGAGGAGGAGGATCCGACGGAGATGGTACTGTATAAGGACAGGGACGCAGCGGTCACTGAACAGATCATACGAATTCTGGTCGATCAGTGCCATCGTTGGCAGGATGTCTCCTTCAGCATCCCTGCAAGTTTTTTCCACCTGCTGTCGCCTATTCGTGGACAATTACATGCCCTCGTCGATTTTGAATTTAATGAAGCCTTCATCGGTGGATTGCCATTCAAGTCGCGGCTTCCTTCCAGAATCGTATCCGACATTTTGGATGGCGCACCTCTCCTTAAATCCCTGACTCTCTCGTCTTCCTTTGACGTCGAGAGGCCAAAGATCACCATCATTCCTCGGATGTGCCCAAAGTTGAGATCATTCGCGGACCATCGACAAGTGGGAGTAGGCGAGGAGCTTCACCAGCACTTTCTCGATATCTTTGGAAGTTCGCCTGGTCTCCGCGACTTCGATGTTAAGCTTACAGGCTTCTTCCCAATTGCTGATCTACGCATCGTCAATACGTCGATCACGCAACTCTCTGCGTGCAGCGGATCCTTTCTCCGCAGCATCATATTACCGAAGTTGAAAGATGTGCAGCTACACGGTCCAGCTCCTGGTGTCCATTTGTATATTCATGATGGTGTCGCGTCATTGTATGACCTTGTCACCCATTCTGGATGTTCCCTGACATCTCTCCATATCAGTGATTGCGCTGTCGATGAGCGCCTCATCTTCATCTTGCGGGCTAGCCCTGAAATTGTCACCTTGTCCCTCTCTTTCCGCAAGTGGCAGGGTGATTCCGTGCAGACGATCCAGTCTTTAATTGCCGAACTGAATATCCTAGGAAAAGCGGAGCCAGCTTTAGTTCCAAACCTGCACAGGTTCTCGTTAGACTTACCGAAAGGTTCTGCTCTTTTACTAGATATGGGACTTCTTGGTTCGAATTTCGTGGATAGCATTGAAAACCGGTGGAGGAAAGGCTCTTTGCGTTCGGTCGACGTCCACATTGGCCACCCGTGGCTTGACATTGGCGGAGGGTTTACATTGACTCGTGCTTGCCACGAACGACTGGCTAGAATGGAGAAGGAAGGACTTAGTGTGGTCCTTTTGCCGCCGCCATTGTAGATCACAACTCGTGTGGCTTGCG